CAAAATACCTGCTTCTTCTACCTGTAAGAGAAGCCCAACGCTCAAAATATCTGCTTCTTCTACCTGTAAGAGAAGCCCCACCCCCAAAATACCTGCTTCTTCTACCTGTAAGAAAAGCAGTGTCCTTAAAATACCTGTTTTTTCTACCTTCAGGATAAGCTCCTCCCTGAAATATATAATTTTACTACCTGTAGGAAAAGCCCCTCCTCCAAATACCTCCTTTTCCCTGCCAGTACAAAAAGCCCCACCTTCAAACGTCTGCTTCCTCTGCCTGTAGGAGAAGAAATGCCCCCAAAAATTCCTGCTTTTTCTACCTGTAGAATAAGCCCCTCCCCACACACTGCAGAGCTCCTCCCCCAAGCACCTGCTTTTCTTCCTGTAGAAGAAGCCCCTCCCTCAAATACCTCATGTTCCACCTGCAGAAGCCCCACCCTCAAAAACCTCCTGTTCTATCTGTAGAAGCCCTGCCTTCAAATACCTCCTACATTCTACAACTGCAGAAGCCCCTCCCCCAAACATGTGCTTCTCCTACCTGTAGGAGAAGCCCTGCCCTCAAATACCTTCTACATTCTAACTGTAGGAGAAGCCCTGTTCTCAAATACCTCCTGAGTTCTACCTGTAGAAGCCCTGCCCTCAAATACGTTCTACATTCTACCTGTAGAAGCCCCGCCCTCAAATACCTTCTTAAGTCCCGCCCTCAAATGCTTCCTGTGTTTTCTACCTGTAGGAGAAGCCCCGCCGTGAAATATCTCCTACGTTCTACCTGTAGGAGAAGCCCCTCCCTCAAATACCTCCTACGTTCTACCTGTAGGAGAAGCCCCTCCCTCAAATACCTTCTACGATCTACCTGTAGAAGAGGCCCCTTGCTCAAATACCTCCTACATTCTACCTGTAGAAGCCCCGCCTTCAAATACCTTCTATGATCTACCTGTAGAAGAAGCCCCGCCCTCAAATACCTCCCATGTTCTACCTAGTGGAAAGGAAGCTCTGCCCTCAAACATGTCTTTTCTGCCTGCCCCTTGATGACCTCATAAGCCACGCCCACTCTCAGTTCCGCAGCATGGTAAACCCTTCACCATTTGCACTACATATCCAATCAGATTTCAGCCGCGACATGTTTAAACTGCCATACGCACTTCGGTCAGGGCAGCATTTCACAGCAGCTGGTTTAGCCGGACAGTTTAAGCCCAAAGTGAGGATGGTCCAGTAGAAATGCCCCGAGGCTGTTCCTCCTGGTGGACCGTGCTCAGCTTTGGCTTGTCTGGCTGATGATGAAATCCTGTGTGTGATGATTCTAGGATCCAGCAACATGGCTGAAGGTTCTAACACGACTCTGTCTGGTCAGGAGTCCCACGCTGGGGTCACTCTGTTTAACAGTGTAGGTGCAGAAACGCCTGTTTGCAGTTGTCCGTGACGGCGACTCCGAATATACTAGAGCTTTCTCTTCCCCTTTTATGGTGACAAGATATTATTTGCTATGGACTGATATTAAATGTTTAAAGACTGCTTTTCTGTCTGTTTTTATTCTTGAACTTTTTGTTACTGGTTTTGTTTTTGTTATTGATATCATTTTGTTTTTCTTTTCTTTTTTGGTTGATCTCTATCCCTGTATTATCATATTAAACTATAACCAGCCAAATTGTCTCCTCCTTTTTTTTTTTTTTTAATCATGATTTAACATTAATATTAGCATTTATCCTTTTTTTTTGTTGTTTTGGCTTAATTACATTTACAAAGTCTTATTAACCTTTTTTAATCGATAATTTGACTTTAGAAAGTGCACTATCGAGTTTAGTGAGACGTTTCGCCCTCACCGAACCTTCTAAGGCAATACGACGTTTGGTTTTGTGTCCTGCGCTCGAACGCAGGCCCGCACGTGCCATTAGCAGAGCGAGAGGAGAGGAGCTGGTGAGGTTGAAGCTCATGCACTGTTGACAGATCAGCGTTTACGAGCGAGTGTTTGTTGAGAGTCTGTTTCAGAAGCGGATCTGGGTTTGTAGCAACCTCGAAATTTCACCTCGTGTCTGATTGGCTGCTCTTTTTCTTGGCGGTCAAGTGCTGTCACGCTAAATGCTAATCCTCATGAAATAAAGCGCACAGAACATTAAAAGACAAGAACATGCCAAGGTTCATTCTACCTTAAAGACAGCAGAACCTCTTCCTTCTCCCGCTCCCTTACAGGCTGTTCATCATTGGTGCAGGGGGGGTGGGGGGAAGCTAGCAAAACTAGCCTACGTACTAGCATAGCTGCGTTTTCACAGTTAGCCGCGTATTCGGGAGCTCGCCATCGCTAAACCCCTGCAGTGTGGACACGCTAACATAGGGCTTTAACGCTCCCCGGTCAGCCCTGAGCTAAAGTATGCAACTCTTCACGCCTGTTTTCTTTTAAACCCGTTTTTTGTCATTTCCTCGCCGTGGTGGGCTCGCCTTAAGGCCTTACGTGGAGCGTGGGAGGAGAGAGGGGGAGTATGTACTGCTTCAGGGTGGGTCTTCCTGAGCTTGTGGTTGGGGAGTTGGGGTTTCCTTTTTTGCGTTAAATGTGTAATTTCAAATGTGATTGTACTGTTTTGTATTGTTGTGTAGGAGATGTGTTATGTATGCATATTTTCAATAAAGCATTCAGGGTTTTGAACATGGACATGAGCTCTGCACATGAATTGAAAGGTAGAATATCAAACAGCTGTATGTACTGAAGCAATAAGCCACGAGAAGCTGAGTGTCCCTACTGAAAAAGGGGCCATTAGAAACCATTGAGTATTGAGCATTTTAGTAAATAATAGTTTATCGATGTTTAAACATTTTTATTAGCTTTTAAACTCGAGTTACAGGAGTTTAAAGTGGCATCTTATGTACGTCCATGATGTCAGTAAGTGCAAACAGCCAATAGGCTGCTCTGCTCGCCGACCAATCAGCACTCAGTAGCAGTAATGCTAACCAATCAGCGCTCAGTAGCAGTAATGCTAACCAATCAGCGCTCAGTAGCAGTAATGCTAACCAATCAGCACTCAGTAGCAGTAATGCTAACCAATCAGCGCTCAGTAGCAATAATGCTAACCAATCAGCCCTCAGTAGTTCTTAACCATTTAGCTCAATCCACCCCCATTCATTGAGGACTCGCTTGTGGGCGCCCTCTGCTGTTTTGCGGTTCTGTGTTTGATATAACGAGGGAAATAAGAAGTGGCCAGACTCCTCATAAACCGGCTCTGGTAAAATCACTGTATCGCACAGCCTCTCGTGGCTTATTGCTTTTATAAACCAGTGGACAACATAGAATATACAATAGTAAATATTTTAAGTTATTATTATTAATAATTATATACAGAAACAGCTATTCCTTTAGAGTATGATATCATCGCTGTATATTGCAGTCATTTCATCAACTTTTCACCTTTATGTTGTAATAATGAACGTATGATAACAGCACTATTACTTTCTGTTCACCAAATTGTCACCGTGACAACACTGCTATTTTCCATTAGCGACTCTATGTGATTTCTACTCTTGTTTAGCACCAATCCAGCGGCGCCCTCTTCTTACGCTGGGGCTGAATCTCAAACGGCTCCCTGCTCCCTACATAGTGCACTACAGAGGAGTTTAAATACTGGATCCTGCAGCCCAACAGAGCAAAATACAGCTGAGAAACAGTCATTTGGGACACATTTACTTCAAAACAATGAGATCTACCTGCTCACCATGTGGCCATGAGGGACAGGGATGCAGCCTCACCTCCTGCTCTAAAATGCAGGGGCGTGTCTAAAACAAGGCTCCGCCCACAGACTAAAACTCTGTTTCAGTGGTGACACGAAAACATGGGACAGCAATTTTAGAATGTTTTATTTAATTACTCTCACGATAAACCTAAATCTTTCAACTTCACTTTAAAAATGAAACTTTCCCAAAATAAATCACGATCCTGGAAAAACGGTTAGAAACTATTTTAACTCTTTGTTTTTAGCCGTTGAGCTCCATTCACCCCCATTCATTGAGGGCTCGCTCGCGGGCGCCCTCTGGCGTTTTGCAGACGTGCTAACCGGCTCTGCTTTCAACCGGGGAGGGGCGGGGCGTGCGTGACGACGCGTGTGTGACGCAGCCGCTGTGCGTCGCGTCAGACCTGTGTGGAAGGTCCGTGTGTGAGCGGGGGGAGACCGCGGTGTAGCAGTGAGCGCAGGCCGGGCAGAGGCGCGCTGTGAGCGGGGAAGGCTCTCTCTGTGCTCCCGCGGCGTCATGGCGGCTCCGCTGGCTCAGTTCGACGAAGACTGGCAGGACTTTAACGAGTTCAAGGCGGCCGAAGCGGACTTTTCCGCGGACACGCTGGACCGGCTGAACTCGAACGCGGGCGACGCGGGCCTGGAGGAGCTCTCCGACCTGGAGCGCAGCTTCTCCGGGGAGATCTGCAGCTTCAAGTCCATGGAGGACCTGGTCCACGACTTCGACGAGAAGCTGACCGTGTGCTTCAGGAACTACAGCGCCACGACCGAGAACATCGCGCCGGTGAAGCCCATCAGCGAGGAGAACTTCCTGAAGGACGACGAGTAAGAAGCGCTTTGTGTGTGTTTGTGTGTGTGTGTGTGTGTTTGTTTGTGTGTGTGTGTGTGTGTGTGTGTGTGTTTGTGTGTGTGTTTGTGTGTGTTTGTTTGTGTGTGTGTTTGTGTGTGTGTGTGATTGTTTGTGTTTGTGTGTTTTCTATGTAGAACCTTCTTAAAAAGGGTTCTATATACCACCCAAAAGGGTGACATCGTAAGAATAGAAGAACCCTTTTCTAAAAGGTTCTATATAGAACTGTTTGTAGCACATTTTCCATTAGTCTGAAGAACCTTTCATCATGCAGAGAACCCTTTAATCATGCAAAGGGTTCTTCGAGTGTTCATGGTTCTCTACAGAGCTATCGTCTTTACTAAAGAACCCTTGAAGAACGTAAGACTGTTTGACTGAGTTTAGTTCAGTATCTATTCCAGAATATCAGTTCCTACCTTCATAATCTCATCATGAACTCCAGATAAGAAAACAGCATCACACAAACATCCTAACTAGACTAAACCTCCTAAATCCTGTCCTAACTTTAGGATGAACCCCAACAGGGTCCTCACTTCTGTTTAAGGTCCGTTTCTATGTTTTTTAGGCAGCTGAGTCAGCAGCATAGTTCACTACCAGCATAATGAGCTCCATTTATTCCTACTGTAAAACGCTGCTTTCACTGTGAGATGATTTTCTTTTCTAACTCTGCGTTTTAAAGATCTCAGACGCTGCAGACTCGATCTCCACCGCCCCTCTGATCACCTTCGTGAGTTAATGTTGATGATGAAATATTACAGTGATGGTGGTGAATAATGAGGAGACGGAGCTGAACGTGTGTCTGTTTATTAGGAGGAGTAACGTTAGCGCGCTCGGCTAAAGCGTTTGGGTAATGGAGACTGAAACTGGGGAGCGGCGACGCTCTGATAAACAGCAGGGGGCGCTCTCACAGTATTCACTACTTACTGTTTATCACTCTTTGACCTGTTTTACATCAGAAACAGTAGGTTAAGATTTCCTAACTGGAGATAAGATGCTTTACACTCTTAAAGATGGTTCTTCAAGGGTTCTTTAATGGAGGTAGTAGTTCTGTTTAGAACCATTTCATGCTTAAATGGTTCTTTGCATTGTGAATGGTTCTCCAGATTGATGGAGAGCTTGTGTGTGATTCTCTGTTGTGTATAGGGTTGACATCATAGCAGTAGCAGAACCCTTTTCGGTGCTATATAGAACCGTTTTCAAAAAAGTTCTATACAGAACCTTCTACAGCACGTTCTCCATCAATGTGAAGAACCATTTCACCATGCAGAGATCCATGTAAGCATGCAGATGGTTCTGTATAGAACTAATGGTTCTGAAAAGAGGGTATTTATTTTGGATTTGTCAGATTTTAACTGAAGCCTAAATACGGGACGTTTCTGTAATTCAGCTCCAGTTTAATGAGTGATGTTTCGATTGTAGCCGTTCTCGTTCTCGCGGCTGTCAGTCAGAATTTTCCAGAATCTGCGTCTTCGCCGGCTGCTTCTCTGTCCCCCCTCAGAGGGCGAGTGGGGGGCGGGTCCGTGTGGAGAGAGTTGGCGAGAGTGAAGAAGGAGCCGTTTCATAACTCTGACTTTAGAGAGTTGAGAGAGAGAGAGAGAGAGAGAGAGAGAGAGAGAGAGAGAGAGAGACACGACGGAGTCTGTTCCTCGCTGACTCACTCCACTTTAGGCACTGCTGACTCACTCGCTTTCTCGTCCTGTCCGGGGCTGAAAGGCTGATCGTTTTCGTATCGAAATCGCAGTTTGAGTTCAGTTTTCAGAGATTTAGAACTGCAGTTTTCATCACATCTTCATAGAACTCAGCAACAACATCAGGTGCCACTGCTCGCCAGCCTTCTGGACCGGGTTGACCATCATGGAGCTTCTCGCTGTCCAGCGCTGTGCAAACCTCACCTGCATGAACTGACCCTCCTGCTGCTGCATAAACTCAAACTATCTAATTAACCGTTGCTCCGCCTGTTTTTCCCGTTTTGTATTCTAATATTTTATACTAACACTGTTTCCTATCCGGTGTCGACCAGAGGAGGATGGGTTCCCCTTTTGAGTCTTGGTTCCTCTTGGTTTCTTCCTCTTGCTCTTAGGGAGTTCCTCCTTGCCACTGTCGCTATTGGCGACGCTCATGGGGGCTCAGACCCGGATTTTTCTGTAAAGCTGCTTTGTGACACCCCTGTTGTAAAAAGTGCCATATAAATAAACTTTGACTTGACGTTTGTCCTGTTAGAACTATAAGGTTCTGTCTGACTTTAGAGAGTTGAGTTGAGAAAGAGAGACAGACAAGGGGCTCATACACACTAAACATTGAATAATTAAGTAATGAGATGTTTGTACTTCTGCCTCTGTATAGCGAGGCTGTTTTAAACCCAGATTACTGTAATATTTATATTTTCTCTCTCTTATTATGTTCATTAATCAATCAATTAATGCCCCATAAAGACATTAACGTCCATCAGAACACAGCTGGAGCTGTTTCTGTAACTTTATCAGCCATTTAAGATGTGAAGTTTGAGTTTGATGGGAGGTTTGAGAGAGCGCACTCACTCAGACAGCAGCACGGACCTGTTTATTCATCCTCCACATCCCTCGCTCCCTCTGCTCCTCCACATCCCTCGCTCCCTCTGCTCCTCCACATCCCTCGCTCTCTCTGCTCCTCCACCCTGAAGAGCAATAAAGCAGAATAATCACACTTCACTTCATATTAACATCAGCACTGAGAACAGAGAGGCGGGGGAGAGGGAGAGTACAGAGACATAACAAACAGATAGAAAACAGTCAGAAACAGTGGGTGTTTCTAATAAAGTGGCCAGTTAGCGGAAGCACAAGGTGGGTGTTTCTAATAAAGTGGCTAGTGAGTGAGACCACAAGGGGGGTGTTTCTAATAAAGTGGCCACTGAGTGACACCACAAGGGGGTGTTTCTAATAAAGTGGCCAGTGAGTGGAAACACAAGGTGGGTGTTTCTAATAAAGTGGCCACTGAGTGTCGTGAATATGTAGTGAAATATAAGCAGAGAGCTGTGTGTGATGTTGAGTCTGAGAGCTGTAGGGCTGAGCAGTAAGTCAGGAACACTCAGCATCACATCCAGCCTTAGAGTTCACACACACACACACACACACACACACACACACACACAGCGAATCTAAATAAGGACAGTGGTGGTCCTTGCTGTGGGCTTTGGTTCATGCTCATCAGCCTGTGGCTCCAGAGGACACGCACACAGGAATGTGCACACGTGCATCAGTGCAGACATTCACATGAATACAAACGTGTGTATCTGTACAAATGGACAAATTAAATGGACTAAACTGGGGGTCCCTTGGGGTTCCTGACCGTTGAAGAACCGGGTAATAAAGTATGCAGAGACACAGATGGACTACAATCTGTAACTGTAGAACTACAGAGTGAGACTATACGGTCAGTGGAGCCGATACAGTGGACAGTCAGTTTAGAAACAAGGAGGTGGTTTATTATTATGTCTAATGTGTGTATAATAAACTATGACCACCCCAAAGTAATTAGATTATTTCACAGTTTTAGTGTCAGTGTTACTGTACAGTGTGTAAAGTGCGGATAGTGAGCAGGCGTGTCGGTGAGCTGTAGTGAGTGCTGAGGAGTGACTGTGCAGGATGTGTTGAAACTAAAACACTGAAACAGTCTGATCTGTATCTGTGTCTCTCACTCGAACCTGAATTGGATACACAGCAGATCATCTACAGCCACTCACGCTTACAGTTAAACCTCACACAGCTCACACACAGCTCACACACACACACTCACCTCACACACACGTTCAGCTCACACACACACACAGCTCACACACAGCTCACACACACACACAGCTCACACACAGCTCACACACACACACTCACCTCACACACACGTTCAGCTCACAGACAGCTCACACACAGCTCACACACAGCTCACACACTCACACACACACACCTCACACACACTCACTCAGCTCACACACACTCACCTCACACACACGCTCAGCTCACACACACACACTCACCTCACACACACTTACTCGGCTCACACACACTCAACTCACACACTCGGCTCACGCACTCACTCGGCTCACACGCACTCACTCGGCTCACACACACTCACTCAGCTCACACTCACTCAGCTCACACTCACTCAACTCACACACTCGGCTCACACGCACTCACTCGGCTCACACGCACTCACTCGGCTCACACACACTCACTCAGCTCACACTCACTCAGCTCACACTCACTCAACTCACACACTCGGCTCACACGCACTCACTCGGCTCACACGCACTCACTCGGCTCACACTCACTCGGCTCACACACACTCGGCTCACACGCACTCACTCGGCTCACACGCACTCGGCTCACACGCACTCACTCGGCTCACACGCACTCGGCTCACACACACTCACTCGGCTCACACTCACTCGGCTCACACGCACTCACTCAGCTCACACTCACTCGGCTCACACGCACTCACTCGGCTCACACGCACTCACTCGGCTCACTCACTCGGCTCACACGCACTCACTCGGCTCACACACAATCGGCTCACTCACTCGGCTCACACACACACTCGGCTCACACACTCACTGGGCTCACACACGCACTCGGCTCACACACGCACTCGGCTCACACACTCACTCAGCTCACTCACTCGGCTCACACACTCACTCAGCTCACTCACTCGGCTCACTCGGCTCACACACTCACTCAGCTCACTCACTCGGCTCACACACTCACTCGGCTCACACACTCACTCAGCTCACTCACTCGGCTCACACACTCACTCGGCTCACACACTCACTCGGCTCACACACTCACTCAGCTCACTCACTCGGCTCACACGATTAAAGTGTTCTGCAAAAGAAAAATAATAAAAACAGCTCTGTTTATTAAAAATCACCAATAATGCAGAATAAGACAGAAAGATCAGCTGCTGTAATTTAACAGACCTTAACACTGCATCTCTCTCTCTCTCTCTCTCTCCCTCTCTCTCTCTCTCTCTCTAGGATATGGAACGCTCTGACGGATAATTATGGGAATGTGATGCCAGTGGATTGGAAGACGTCTCACACTCGTTCTCTTCATCTTCCTACACTCAACCTCTGCCAGCAAACGGTAACTCGCCCTCGCACTCGTCCTTCCGCTCCATCCGTCCTCTTTTCCTCAGTCCGTTCATCCGTCCCATCTTTTCCTGTGATCAGTCCATTTGCCTGCTCATCACAGACTCCTGTATTTGGGTGTTTTTGTCATGTGTTTATAGTGATGACGCTCCACTCTGCCCTCACCGACCGTCGCTGTCTGTAGGTTTGTACAGAAACACTGTGAGGGACTTCAGTAAAGCAGGATTTCCCATTAAAGCCCAGACTGGTTTGGATTTTGGGTCTACAATAAGCAGCTAATTGATGAATCGTGTTTTGTGTGATGTAACTGTGATGATCCAGAAGTGTTCTGAATAGGCCCTTTTCACAAGAAAAGGAAGTGTGTAAACTCTGGGTAGAACAATTTCCGCTGTTCCCTTATGGACGGTTATTAACCTCAGAAATACAGGCGTTCCTAACACTTCAGCCACAGAAAGGTGTGTCACTTTATCTTTTTCATAGTTGCCAAGATTGGACCAGAACTGCTGGAGAACCAAACACACAGCAATGCGGAAGTCCAGACTAAATTAAGGATATAAATGCTTCGTGGAAAAACTCCTTCACAGCTATCAGAGCACAGCAACCTCAGCTAACGTCAGCAGAGTGATAAATCAATGGAGGTGAAAATAACTATAATCTCAACCCCAGATCATCCGTGTTAGCTGGAGATGCTGAACCAGCTCACTAACAGTGAACTAGTTAAAGCAGCAAAAAAGCTAAACACACGCACATCCCAGCAGAGGGGCTCGCCGGATCGTCAGGGTCTGCACCACTGTAGACGTTTTCTTATTTGCATTTATAATCACTCAGCTGGTTTCCTGTTACGTTTAATCTGCAACGGGAAACTGTCAAACACTAAAACATCATGAGGCTGAAGTTGCTTCTTGTTCGGATTTTCCTGTTCCACCTTAAATGGCGCAGCAGTTACATTCTGGAGGCTCAGGCACCATTTAAGGTGGAACCCCCGGCTCCAGTGAACGAACATCCACTCTCCGCTGAGCTCTCGCTCTCTCAGATACGGATCATTTTTGAGGGAGAAAATGAAAACTGTTCCTCTGAAAGCGGCTGCAGCAGCAACCTTAAAGCACAAACTGCATTCTGTGTAACATCAACTTGGGTTTGTTTTACTCCGTGAAGCTCCGTCTTGCTTTAAGCTCTAAGACTTGAGTGAGCTGTACACGCTCTACTCGTCATTGTTGCTGTTGTTGTTGCTTTAGCGGAAGCAGCGTCACCCTGCAACGAGCACTTCCAGCAGAAAAAATGCGGAAATGTGAAAAGGGCATATTGTCCCGACTTGTCCCGTTGTTTGAGTCTCACCCAGGACTGATTCTGGGCTTGTTTTTGGGTGGGGCTCATTGTCGCTGGTATCGCTGCACATGAGAATCCCATGTGAACTGTGGATCGACTGTGCAATTCCGTACGTCACCTTTCTGCGTGCTGGTTTGGAGAATGTCCAGCGCAGCTTCATCCGTTTGCTGCTTTTTGTTCCCTTCCTTGGAAAGAAACATGCCGCTTTTTAGGTACCTGGCACATCACCATGCAGGAGCTCCTTCAAACAAGCTCAGAACTAAATTTTTGGTCTTTACAAAAGGGAAGTGATGCAGTAAGTCGAAACGGTCACGTTACAAACCGGACCAATCATGCAGCCCCCCACGTGGCGCCAGGAGCGGATAGAGACGCACTAGAGACCACAGATTTCAGGAGGACTGGTTATTGGTACACTCGACCGAACGTACCGAATTCGCAGAGCGAGTGGACCTGGGTCCAGAAAAACGCTCTATAAAAACCCGCGTCGATAAGAAAGACCACGTCTGCACATTGTTACTACATGCTTGTGTACAGCAGGGGGCGCGTTGGCATTGATCACAGACCTGCGCAACCAAATGGGGGCAGAGTATTAATTAAGCTGAATTTTTTTGCTTAGCAACCGTTGCTATCTGCCTCTGCCACAAGCCCTCGGTTTGTTATAATTTGAAGCTCCAGCTGAGGTTAAAAGATTGGGGCATGTTTTAAAGCCGTCCGAAGCCGAAAATAAACTCAGTTTTGTGTGAATTCGGTACTTATGGTGCTCTGTTACTTTAAAGGCTAAAATAAGCGGAGTTTCCTCACTTCGCTGTTCAGGTGGTCTTCATGTCTGTTCGAGTCACTTATTCAGTTCATCTCTGACCGTCTCTCACTGCAGGACTCGTGAACGTTTTGAGTCGTAAATATCAAACGTTTGATAATATCGGAGGGCCTCTGATCACTTTAGAGCTCGATCACTTTCTCCTCTACCAGACCGTCTGTGTCGTCGGCCGTTTCCGATCGTGCTCCCGACCTAGAGAATCGCTTTAGATTGTGAAAGTTTGTGGCGAGGGGTAAAAATCGTGTAGTACAGGCTCACTTTTAGGTTTTTCAGTTCTGTTCTGGGTTGTTTTTCATCTCTGATTTTATCTGTCATGCTGTCTTCCTTGGTTCCACCCGCCGCGGCAGTACGCTTTAGCCCAGATGATTAAAAGAGAATTGGTTGTGAATCCAGTATTCCACTTGGTTGTTATTGTTTTGTATCACTATGAGGTGGAAGTGCTTGAATTGGTAGGATGATTCCTGAAGACTCCTGATGATGATGCTGCTGCACAGACTCGAACTTTGTAATCAGTCATTGCTTCTCCTGCTTTTCCCCATTTCCGTATCTCATTCTGATGGTCAAACCTCATTCTCTGCTGTTATTGTTTGCTATGTTACTGTATGCTTTAGAGCATTTGGAAATTATATCTATCAACCTGGGTTACATAGTTTTTTACAAAAATTAACTTCTGCATATGCCACTGGTGTACAGGCCTGGGTGATGAATAGTGTGAATGTGTATAATAAATTGTTGATAATTATCAATACTGAAAAAAATGTAAAAACATAAGATTTTTGGACGTATATCGTTCAGTTTCTTTTATAATACTTTGTTTTAAATTTACTGTTATCATAAACAACAGTCACACATAACGACGACATGATTTCCAGCTACCACTGGTTACAAATTCAGTTGAAGTCACTATTGCAGGATTAATAAACTCCCAGTACAGGGCAGTTCTGCAAAACAAAGCAGTCATATTTATGCCTGTAGAGATGTGAATTAGATGTGATGTGATTTTATTTTTAATCTCAAAGCAAAGATGAGGCATTATATTTCATATATTTCGTAAACAGTGTTTTCGCATTGTTCAGCAGTTATTCAGCAGTCAGCGGTCGACCTGAAGATCTTTCCGAGTGTATATTGTGGTTTGTGTGTGTTTCAGAAGGTGGATAATATGAATCTGGATCTGTCTGATGATGAAGAGCTGAGGGAGCAGATGGATCTGCACTCCATCATCGTCTCCTGCGTTAACGAGGAGCCGCTGTTCACCGCAGAGCAGGTGAGCACGTCCTCCCACCTACACACACACCTGAACTACTGGCCCGAAGTATCTGCTTGAGTATCTGTACTCAAACGGTAAAACGTGACTGTAATATTTAGAGATGGGTCCGATTCGATCCTATATCGGTATCAGGTCCGATATCGGCATCACTTCACTCATCGGATATCGGACGGACAGGGCCGATCCACTTACCGATCCAGATTCCAGTCTGCAGCTTGCGCTGGACCATGAATCTGTCGTAATGTAACGTAAAATAACAGACACATCACCAATCCAGATTCCATTTCACATCTTACCATGAACCTGCGCCAACTTCAGTCTGTAACTGAGTGAGCAAATAATATTAGCGGTTGGTGTGTGTGTGTATATATATATATATATATATATATATATAGACACAGCAGTGCTGCTGGAGTTTTTAAACACCTCAGTGTCGCTGCTGGACTGAGAATAGTCCACCAACCAAAAATATCCAGCCAACAGCGTCCTGTGGGCAGCGTCCTGTGACCACTGATGAAGGACTAGAGGATGACCAACACAAACTGTGCAGCAGCAGATGAGCTATCGTCTCTGACTTTACATCTACAAGGTGGACCGACAAGGTAGGAGTGTCTAATAGAGTGGACAGTGAGTGGACACAGTGTTTAAAAACTCCAGCAGCACTGCTGTGTCTGATCCACTCGCACCAGTGCAACACACACTAACACACCACCACCACCACGTCAGTGTTACTGCAGTGCTGACAATGATCCGCCACCCAAATAGTACCTGCTCTGTGAGGGTCCATGGGGGTCCTGACCACTGAAGAACAGGGTAAAAGGGGGCTAACAAAGTATCAGAGAAACAGATGGACTACAGTCTGTAACTGTAGAACTACAAAGTGCACCTATATAGTAAGTGGAGCTGATAAAATGGACAATGAGCGTAGAAACAAGGAGGTGGTCAGAATGTTATGCCTGATCGGTGTAAATTGCAGATACTTTTAAATTATGTCAAAAACTGAAAAAATGTGTGTGTGTTTTGTGTCTATAATGTTTGTGTGTGTGTGTTGCAGGTGATTGAGGAGATTGAGGAGATGATGCAGGAGTCTCCTGACCCGGAGGCCGAGGAGAGTCCGTCCCAGTCGGACCTGTCCATGCTCTCTCACGAGCTGCACTCGCTCTCTCACTCCACCTCCACCAGCAGCTACGAAGAGCGTCAGTATCTCCTCTGTCTGTTCTGTGTTGAAGGTTGTTGACCGTCAGTGGTGACCCAGACCTGATGAGCCGAACAGAAACCCAGGATAAAGTGCATTAAAGCAACGTTGGCGAGTCTGATGTACACAGTGAACAGTTACGTCTCAGTGCAGCCCGTCAGTCAGGACGCGTTGGGTGTCTGCGCTGCGACTGTGAGATCTAGGACAGTGAAACCATCTTAAAACCATCTTGCTGTTGACGTTTTGGCGTATTTTGAATAAACAATGGCCAGTTCAGTTTTTTAATATGGCCTTTGTAGTGGTTGAGTTTGACACTCCTGATCGAGGTTAATTGTCTTTTTCTACTGTACGATTTATCACTACAAGCAAAATTATCTAATGGACCCGGACGAAATCACATTAGCGTAGCTAAAACAGCGACTTTGGTCCATTTGTACAGATAACAGTGTATCATACAGTCCGTCCTAACTTAATAACTCCCTGCAGTAAACACCAGTTTGATGACAAAATTAGTATTTTGCTGTTGTCTGTACATGGAGACATCAAAGAACAGTAAAAGACATAACTCAGTTATTAGGGAAGATGTGTGTGTATGATTTATTATGTAATACGCGTGTTATGTAATAGTAACAGTAATTGGTCCCTGTGGTTCTGTGCTTTGTTATATAATGTCAGATTTAATGTATGGAAAAGATCACACTTGTGTTCGCATGAATGAATGACCACTCGTGTGTGTGTGTGTGTGTATGTGTGTGTGTATATGTGTGTGTGTGTGTGTGTGTGTGTGTCTGTGTGTGTGTGTGTCTCATAAGTGCCACAGTTCAGAAAATGTCTCTTTTCTGGTACATACAGCTGGATAGGATTCAGAGTCTTAGTATCAGTATGAGTGGGATTATTTATAGTCTTTGTAACTGTAGGACTGGGATTATTCAGACTTCTTGTAACTGTAGGATTATGATTATTCCAAGCCTTTTTGACCTGTAGGATTGGGATTATTCCGAGCCTTTATGACCTGTAGGACTGGGATTATTCTGAGCCTTTATGACCTGTAGGACTGGGATTATTCTGAGCCTTTATGACCTGTAGGACTGGGATTATTCCGAGCCTTTATGACCTGTAGGATTATGATTATTCCAAGTCTTTATGACCTGTAGGATTGGGATTATTCAGAGTCTTTATGACCTGTAGGATTATGATTATTCCAAGTCTTTATGACCTGTAGGATTATGATTATTTCAAGTCTTTATGACCTGTAGGACTGGGATTATTCTGAGCCTTTATGACCTGTAGGACTGGGAATATTCCAAGTCTTTATGACCTGTAGGACTGGGATTATTCCGAGCCTTTATGACCTGTAGGATTGAGATTATTCTGAGCATTTATTACCTGTAGGATTCTGGGCATTTATTACCTGTAGGATTATGATTATTGCAAGTATTTATGACCTGTAGGACTGGGATTATTCTGAGCCTTTATGACCTGTAGGACTGGGATTATTCTGAGCCTTTATGACCTGTAGGACTGAGATTATTCAGAGTCTTTGTAACTGTAGGACTGGGATTTTTCCAAACATTTCTAATTCAGAGTATTTTCAACTGTAGAAATGGTGATGATTGTAAATGTTGTTAGCTGCAGGATTGGGATTATTCAGTGTTTATGGCCGGAGAACTGTGGCTGTTCAGAATGTTTATGACTGTAGGATTAGGATTGTTCAACTTGTTTATAGCTGTAGGGTTGGGATTATTCAGAGCCTTTATGAGGGTAGGTCTGGGATCATATTGAGTGTTTATAGATTATTCTGGTGTTTTTATGTGATTTGCTCGTTCCTGATGATCGTTTCTGTCTCTGTGTGTGTGGCAGGTCTGCGTGGGCTGGGAGTGTGTGAGCTGGAGGAGCTGCTGGAGGAGGTGGAGAGGGAGATCCGCCGCTACTCGGAGGAGCTGATCGAGCAGCTGGCTCTGAGGGACGAGCTGGACTTTGAGAAGGAGGTGAAGAACGGCTTCATCTCCATCCTCATCGACGTGCAGAACAGACAGAAGGAGCACAGAGAGATGATGAAGAGGAGGAGGAAGGTGAAGAGCGCAGCGGGGACGCAGAGGAACGAGCGCACACACCTGCCTGGAACTGTGAGGAGAACACACACTGATTCAGTCCACCTTACACAGTTACTCAGTCCGACAGAGAGACGCCTCACTAAATTTGACCTCACGGTGATTCAGTATGATTCTCATTATGATTTATTGAATCATAATCTCAAATCTCAAGATCTCATGTCTCAATGTAACTGGAATATGGACAATAAAAACAATACATTATATTTTGGGATATTATTTATGTTTGAAAGTAACCCATGAATTATTTTTTTAGCAAATGTTGACACATCACTGAATCTGACCTCATGGTGATTCAGTATGATTCTGTTTCTGATTCAGTGAATCGTAATCTCAAATCTCAAGATTTCACTAGATTACTTTGGTGTGATTCAGAACTATTTACACTGAATAAATGAATGTTACTGCAATATAGACAATAAAAACACTACACTATATTTTGGGACATGATTTATGTTTGAAAATATAAATCAGACCTCACAGTGATTCAGTATGATTCTGATTCAGTGAATCATAATCTCAAATCTCAAGATTTCACTTGATTACGTCAGTGTGATTCAAAATTATTTACACTGAATACACAGATGTAACTGGAACATAGACGATAAAAGCAATACATTATATTTTTGGACATTATGTTTGAAAGTATCCCATTAATTTTTTGAGCAAATGTTGAATTATTATCAATGCCAACATTCCAAATTCAATACAGTTGATTAACAATTTTCAGGAAAAACATCTGCGACCTCAGGTTTTACTCAGGAAACCCAAACCTGTCTGTGACAGAAGTAGATCTTCAGAGTGCTGAATGCAGATCCCATCACTTCACTCTTTCTCACTGTTGTCTCTTCGCTTTCTCTTCCTTCACTCCTTCAGTCTGTGGCACACATTCATACACTGTATCACTAAAAGTGTCCAGACACCTGCCCGTCCAACATCCAACATTCCTACCAAAATTAAAGGTTTTACTGGGGGGTTTGTAGCCCTTTACTGCAATAACTGCCCTTCTGAGAAGGCTTTACACCACTGGACTTGGTCTGAATCCTGAATACAACCCCAGCTCATCCTGAAGAAGTTCACCAGAGCTTCAGATCTTCAGCTCAACCTGGAGGACCACAGTGGAACATCATCACTCTAACTCATCCCAAACGTGTTCAGTAATTCTCCAGCTCATCCTTGAGTGTAACTTCACCACTCTGACTCATCTCAGACGTTTTCAGTAGGGCTTCATCACTCCAGCTCATCCCAAAGCTCAGCTGACCTTCAGACCTTCAGTTTGTCCGAGTAGAGTACAATGGACCTTCACAACTTCACCTCCTGACAGAGGTTTTCAGTGGAGCTTCATCACTCCAACTCATCCCAGGTGAGTTCAGTGTAGCTTCATACCTTCAGTTTGTCCCAGAAGAGTTCAGAGGAGTTCATTGGAGCTTCATCACTCAAACTTGTCCCTGTAGACTTCAGTGGAGCTTTAACCTCTACGCTAGATGTTAGACTGTTTTACACTAGATGTTTCCACTGGATTTGGTCTGAATCATGGATTCAGTAGAACTTCAAATCTTCAGCTCAACCCAAAGGACTTCAGTTGAGCTTCAGACCTTCAGTTTGTCACTTCAGATTTTCACCTCTTTCCAAAGGGGTTCAGCTGAGCTTCTTCATTCCAGGTTCCGTGGATCTTAATCACTTCAACTCATCCCTGTGTTCAGTGGAACTTCAAACCTTCACTCTGTCCCAGAAGAGTTCAGCAGAGCTGTAAACCTTGAACTAATCCCACAGGTGTTCATTGATGCTGCAGCATATTCTGAAGGTGTTCAATGGGGAACCTCATCACTCCAACTCAGAGCTAAAGGTCTTCAGTGACGATTGTGATGTTCAACTCGTGCCAGATAGTTTCAGAGGACCTTCACCTCTTCAGGTGTTCTGTGGAGATGACCCAGGCATTTGTACATGTGTACGTGTTTTTGTTCGTCTGAGTCAACAACCAGCAGAAACTTTTTTTAAATTTTTGATTACAGAATTCTTTTACTGACATATAAGGCTCTAAACGGCCCCTCAGTACCTGAGAGAACTTCTCTCTAATTATGAACCATCACGGCTGCTTAGATCGCAAGGTGCTGCTCATACAAAGCCCCCCAGCTTTGGAATAATCTTCCAGTCAGTGTTTGGGACTCAGAGAGCCTCATGTCTCTGTTAACTTCTGTCTCTCTCTTTAAGTGAGGCTGTAATACGTAGACCTGCCGGAGTCTCTGCTGCTCTCTTAACACTGTATTCTCGCCAGCCTTCTGGCCCAGTCTGACCACCATGGAGCTTCCTGCTGGACAACGTTATATGAACTCACCCTCCTAATGATGCTGCTTTGTAATCATAGACGTTGCTACTCCTGCTTTTCCCCTGTTCTGCATCTCATACTGATGATGAATCTCATTCTCTGCTGTTATTGTTTACTGTCCGGTGTCGACCTGAGGAGGATGGGTTTCCCTTCTGAGTCTTGGTTCCTCTCAAGGTTTCTTCCTTTTGCTCTTAGGGAGTTTTTCCTTGCCACTGTTGCCGTTGGCGACGCTCATGGAGGCTCAGACCCAGGTTTTTCTGTAAAGCTGCTTTATGACACCCCTGTTGCAAAAAGCGCTACATAAATAAATTTTGACTTGACCGTAAAACAGCTGAATCTGTCAATCACACAATGTGTCTGGATACTTTTGGTCATACACTGTATCTCTCATTTTCTTCTTTTCTGTAACTGTTCTCTCTTCTCTCTCTCTCTCTCTCTCTCTCAGCTCTTCAGTATGGAAGGTTTTTCTACTGTAATTCAGAACAGCCTCCGTCAGACTTTCGGGGGCTCCGGAGGGGACAGACAGGTTACCCCCTCTGCTCCTCGACTATCACCCCATCTCTCCTTTCTTTTATTCATCCCTTCATTTCTCTTTCCTTTCCCAGCAGTGCTTGCTTCACTTCTGCATGAAAGTGCCAGGTCGTCACTGTCGTGAGGAAAAACTCGTGACTCCAAAACAAAAACAATACAAAAAGCTTTAAATAAATGATTGTAATCAATCATCATAATGAACGTCATGGGCATGAGGTAGAGGTGGGCAATGTGACGATATTTTATTGTTATCGTGATAAATTATGTCACGATATTCTTTTCTGACGATATCGCCAGTACGTACAGAACACTGACCGACTTACAAACCAACCGTAATTAGTCTTATTTAATTGGGTTTGGTGCAGTGCCAGGTGTGTGAAACAGTGAATAGAAGTTATTGCATTCATCATTTTTGATAGTTTTTTAAAACGACGGGCCAGTCCCATTTCACTCCTCGCCCCTACCATTCAGCCCTACCCCTCTGTTTTGCGGGTTCTCGTCTAGGGGTAGGGTGTCCCGATTCTTGTTGAGATAGAGGGGTAGGGTGAAATGTTAGAGCTACATGACCCCCCAAACGGAGGTTTTTCAGAGACTCCAAACAGAGAATTATGAGGAAAAGAAATCTGGTGAGACTGAGAACAAGAGACCAAAGGAACACACAGATGTGAATTTTCTCTGTTAAAAAATATGATAACCACTGTATTATCTTAGTTTAATGTTGTTCAGTGTTTTATGGTCGTTTTCTTCATAACAAGCATGAAAAATCACTAATAGCATGCTAATGTCTCGGTAACTAGCTAGCTAACTTTCCCGTTCCACCTTAAATAGTCCAGCAGTTCTGACGCCTGAATTTAACGCCATTTAAGGTGGAACGGGAAAATTCGAACAAGAAGCTGGTGAATATCTGACTTCAGCTTCATATCACTGAAGAATTAGGGGTGGTGATAATAAATAATTGCCCCCCTCTTTGAAGGCATATGATGCCCTAAATGTAACTAAAGCCCAGCAGTGAGGAGCTGAACTTTACCCTCCTCTGCTGTCACTGCAGACTGGCAGGGTCGCCTACAGAGCAGCGCTGGTAGCTGTTAATGAAGTGATGCTCTTTTTATTTGAGGGTCCCATTTCAGAGGGAAGATCTCAACCACTACCCTGTAACTCAGTAACAAGGGGCAACACTCGAAAACAAGGGGTAGGGGTGAAAATGAGAAATGTGACTGGGCTGAAATGTTGTGATGCGCATCGTTCATCGTTTAAAAGTATCGTGATACGCTAATTTGCCCATATCGCCCACCTCTGTGTGCAGGAGATTCAAAAGAAAATCACTTTAAACATAAGAAAAAGCAGTTACTGTCAGTGAAAATCATGCTGTAATTTTATATAAAGTATTTCTGACTCGTAATTTGTTCAGACGAGTGGAGAAACTGAGTGGAGTGCAGAAAGAAAAACGGACATAAACAGAAAAGAAATGTGGACTCGAGCCTGTTCACTCACTACGGGAATCAGATATAAGTGTGATTATGTAATTATATGATTAGTAAAGCAGAAAAACAACAATAACCAGAAAAAAATCATAACGAATAACACAATCAGAAATGGAGTCACAAGATTCTCCTCATGGTCAGCGAGGTGCATGCGTCCAGCTCGACTCTAATGTTCTTCCAGTACAGACCTTCTCACTCCTGCTGGTTTTCATTTCTGTTATCGGTAAATGATCAAAACAAAATATTCAATAATGTTGGAACTAAATATGAGACCATATTTCACAAGCAACCAGTTCATTTTCTAAATGAAAATAAGTTAACACGCCCCCTGAAGACAGCACAGGTAAATACGGTGTTTTCTGCAGCTTTTAGTGCCTAATTTCTAATTATTTGCTGCGTTTTGGTCGGAATTTTGGAAAAACAAATAAAAAAAAATTGCTTTCATTTATTTTGCTGTGAAATGGTCCTTAAATAAATAAATAAATTTGCATATTTTCATGAAAAATAAATACTGTATTCTCAACATTTTATCTCAATGTGCTCACTACTCATAAAGATCAAATCAAAATGAAACAGCATTCATTTTTCATAAAAATGTCAAAATTCAGCAAAAATAAGGTACAGTGAGAAAATCTGGCGCGGAAGCCGAACCGTCCGACCAGTTTAGATTCCGTTTTCAGATCTGTGGTCAGTGAAGCTCATAATGACGCTGTAATAAAGGAAATTTAAGAGGTTGCTATGAAGTAACTGTGAATGAAGTAGTTTATTCAGTTCAGATCTTTAGTTGTGTTTCACACTTTAGTTGATAAAAAGGCACAGAAGTCAATTTAGGTCTTACAGAAACTAAAAAAGCCAATATTTGATAATTTGATTGATTTAAAAGTGGATTGTAACACAGCTGTTGTTCATGACAGAATAACAGAATTCATGAAGATTTATTTTGGAAAATAGAAACAAGCTATTATAATAATGTCAATATTCTTTTCATTTATTATGATTTCTGATGTTATTTGTTTCTGTATCGTCCCTCATTTTCTGGTTTAGTTGCTGTTTTATTCATTTGCAGCTGTTTTGCATGACGTCATTCAGTTATACTCATTTTACCTCCTGTAAGCTGTGATTAAACACTCTCTCTCTCTCTCTTCAGTATCTGACCACAGTGATTCCCTATGAGAAGAAGAATGGAGCTCCATCAGTGGAGGATCTGCAGATCTTAACCAAGAGTGAGTCTGAAACACTCTGTATTATATTTATATATATGTGTGTGTGTTTATAGCATTCTAAAGGGGTAGTTCAGTAAAAATCAAAATCCAACAATAAGAAAAGAGGAGAGAGAGAGAGAGAGAGAGAGAGGAAGGAAAAAGGTAGAGAGATATGAAGAAAAGGTGAGGGAGAGAGAAGAGATAAAGAAAGCAAGGAAAAAATAGATAAATGAAGAAAATGAGATAGAAAGCAAGAAAACAAGAGTAAGAAAGAAAGGAGAGTAAAAGAAAAAAGAAAGAAAGGAGAGTAAAAGAACAAAGAAAGAAAGAAAAAGAAAAAAAAGGAGAAAGAAAGCGATGAAAAAATGAGAAAACGAAAGGAGAGTGAAAGAAAACAGAGAAAGAAAGGATGAAAAGGAGAGTCAGAAAAGGAAGAAAGCAAGGAAAAAAGACAAAAAGAAAGAAAACAGAGAAAGAGAGCAAGAAAAAAGATAGAAGGAAAAGGAGAGAGAGAGAGGTGTAAGTTAGGTTTTTGGGTGAACTGTCCCTTTAATTTATATTAAATATATTTTTATCTGTCTGTGATCCTCAGTTTTACACGCTATGAGGGACGACAGTGAGAAAGTTCCCAGCCTGCTGACCGATTACATCCTCAAAGGTATCTGAACTTCTCTCGTCTTACACGTCTACGGCTTCATCACCCGCTCAGCACAGAGCGCACGATCACAGCTGCTCCAGATGTGCCTCATACATATTCACAGCGTTATAATACCAACACTGGATATGCAGATGAGCCTCTAACTAATCTCTACATGTTCAAACATTATAATTATCTCTCACACTTTATAATATTCATTTTATTAGAACTCCGTTCCGCACGTTACTTTTATTAGAACTCCGTTCCGCACGTTACTTTCACTAGAACTCCGTTCCGCACGTTACTTTTATTAGAACTCCGTTCCGCACGTTACTTTTACTAGAACTCCGTTCCAGACGTTCATTTTATCAGAACTCCGTTCCGCACGTTACTTTTATTAGAACTCCGTTCCACACGTTACTTTTTATTAGAACTCCGTTCCAGATGTTAATTTTATTAGAAGTCCGTTCCACACGTTACGTTTACTAGAACTCCGTTCCAGACGTTACTTTTTATTAGAACTCTGTTCCAGATGTTACTTTTATTAGAACTCCGTTCCGCACGTTACTTTTTATTAGAACTCCGTTCCAGATGTTAATTTTATTAGAAGTCCGTTCCGCACGTTACTTTTTATTAGAACTCTGTTCCAGATGTTAATTTTATTAGAAGTCCATTGTGTACATTAATTTTATTAGAACTCCATTCTGAATATTAATTTTATTAGAACTTTATTAGATTCTCTGGATGTCATGTCGCCCCCTGCTGGACTGATCTGTTCTGATCAGTTATCATGTTCCATGTTTTTTGTCTTTTGTTGCTCTGACTGCCTTTGTTTATGTATTTCCACTCTTATGTTTGTCTTGTCTTTGACCTTTGACCCCTGGTTTTGTCTCTGCTCTCGCTGCGTTGACCTGTAGCGTTGGTCTGAGACGGTGAGAGGAGACGGAGGTTTGTCTCGCTGTGCTGGCTCTGAGGGTTTCTCCGCCCAGCTGTGTGTCGACCTCTGAAGTTGTCGTCACGCCCATGTTAGGAGCTCCGGGTCTCAGCAGGTTTTCACTGTGGAGAAAAATGAGCAGCAACTGTGAAAATCGTGCATTTCCAGAGCTATTATTTCATGTTGTTTGAACATTTTTCCTCCAAATATCATCCTATTAATCGATAAGAAACATTGCTATGTTTAAGCCAACACTGCTGCACACTAAACTGACCAAAATAGCCCCCACAGACCAGCAGGCTTTGTCCAGTGAGGTAGTTTAGAGGCTTTCGTAGGTTTAGGCTGCAGGTTAAGTAGCTGGTGTTGGTATATAGTAAGTATTCACTGCTCGGTGATGATGCTTTAATCTGGATGTCGACGAGTCGCTGATCACGTGATTATGACGCGACATAGACGCCTCAGAGAGACAGCAGGTGAGGAGCCTGGTGATTCTGGGGTCTGTATCTCTGGTTTCCTGAAGGCCAAAACTGTTGACTTTAAAAAATCTGGTCATGGAGCCCCCAGAATACATCAGTGTTGAAGGGTCATAGTAGACTCAGTGCGCAGTGTTAGCTCTCTTGTAGCATGTATGAAGAAATTATTCATATTTCGACTGCTAAACGATCTCATAATGCAGAAGATCCACTGATGATCCACTGACGCTCTGAATGTACACAAGACAAAACATATCAGCTTTGAAACGCTTTGGTTTACCACAGGACGCCACGGGGGTGATTTTGGAAAACGCTGTTTATTTTCCTCGTAGAGAAAATCAGCTCAGACCTAAAGCTCCTATAAGGCTGTGACTTCAGAGGCCTGTAGTCTGTGTTTAGTTCTGTCTGTCTCACCAAGCAGGACTTTGTTGAACCAGCTGATACAGTGCCAGTGTCAGGGCAACACGGCAACCCAATCAGGGACAGGCTTCTATAAACCAATCAGAGACAGCCTTCTGACCAATAAGGGACAGCCTTCTATAAACCAATCAGGAACAGCCTTTCTTAGTTCCCTTTTTTTGTGACCTTTATATCAATTGTGGTGTCTAAATCACACTAAACAGTCTTATCACTGTAATAAGCGCTAACACAGTAAGAGGAGACGGTGCTGCTTTATACTGTTATAAACACTTTATACATATTTACAGTGTAAATTATTGTTCCTTCTTTTAAAATGAGCTGCAACTCAGTTAAAGGTGCTTTGTGAGACAGACAGACCCTCTGTGTGTGTGTGTGTGTGTGTGTGTGTGTGTGTGTGTGTGTGTGTGTGTGTTCATGTTCGTTCTCTTTACAGCGCACCCTACAGCCACATTACTGAACTGCACCTGTTCTCTGCCTTATTCATCTCTCTCTCTTCCTCCATTCCTTCTTTATCTCATTCTCTCTTTGTTCTCTTCTTTCTGTATCCTTTCTTTCTCTCCCACACTCCACCTGTGGTCTCATAGTTATCAGGTGGTCACTTGCAGATGTGTTTCTCTCTCTCTCTCTCTCTCTCTCTCGTCCTCCTTGCATTTCTCAGCTGTTGTCTCTCTTAGATTAAAGCGATATTTCAGCCAGAAAGAAAGTCCTCCGCCCCCGTCCTAAAATGTGGACGATCAGCCGAGGCATGTTTAGTTTTCATCTTTAGTTTTCGAGCTGGAGCCGTGAGGCTGATATAGCTAGCAAGATAAACACATTGCCATGCTAATTAGCATGTTGCTAACTGTATGCCTAAATCATCGGCCTTCGTTAACTCGAATATTCGAATATTATTATGTGGTTTCTGAGTCTGTATGACTCACTGATATCTACGAACATGGACTGAAGTGCATTAGCATAGCTAAACACAGTAGCAGCAGAATAGACGCTGCCCTGATAGTAAGAGGACAGTGAGCCGCTGTCGGCCCGCTGACGGCAGAGCTGGCGGTCCCCTGGCGTTTGGCAGTGTTTTCTGGGCGGCCCACCGGTGTTTAAACAGAGTAATAGACAAAATCCCACTGATCATCACTCATTTCCACTCACAGTCCAGTTCACTGATTTCTCCTTCCTTCATTTCTTTAGTTCTACTTTGTAAATTAGTTCAGTAAATAATTTTAATCAAGCGCAGAGTCAGCAACACTTTCTGTAAACTCATTCTATATCAGGCCTAGTCATTATTTTTTTTTCCTCTCGGTTGTTTGTGATATTTGTCTAAGTTTATTTTGTGAATAAAAGTCTGCATTTAAAATCCGTTTGAGGAGATTAAAAACTAGTTAAAGCTGTACGCAGGACAGTGATCTCGGTGGTCCGAGGGTGAACAGTCAACGAGGGGCCGACCTTATCAAGCCAGTGGACCGCTATATGCTTGCTATCTGGGTAGCTACATTAGCCTCGTAACTCTAGTGCTACCAAACGTGAACTACTAGATATGTTAGCCTCATAGCTCCAGTGCTAACAGGCATGTCCTGGCTGATTGACTGCATTTGGGGAAACTCAGTAAATCAGATTTTTTGGTTGAACTATTGTTTTGAATTGGCTGTTCTATTAGCTCTGATGTGACTAACCAGTTGTGTGTTGTTCCTTCTGTTCTGCAGTTTTGTGTCCCACATAGACGCAGCAGAACGTTCAGCAGAACCTTCCAGAAGGATCCAGCTTGTGGGATTGCCTGGTTCTGGACTGAGGCGGTTTCTTCTTCTTCTTCTTCTACTGTTCTTCCTTCTCCTTCACATCAGCCAGAGATTCTCCTAACAGCCCTTCATTTCTGTATCCAGCTGTGTTTTTAATGTACCAGTATGAGATCATCTTTATTTTCCCTCTATATTCTGTAGGCATGTAGGTCTCGTCGTGTTTAGCCGATGAACAGTATTGGTTTGGCGGAGCGGTGAGGGTTTTGCTGAGTTCGGTGTTGCTCAGCGTGGTTGGAGCTGGTATGAAGCTGCATGCCGTGCATGGGTTTCATATTTACATGTTTGTTTATCCTCAGTCTGACTTCCTGTTGGGCGACGCCCTCCGAAACCAGGCGTAACAGAGAGCAGACTGCAGCCAATCAGGAAGCTTCAGGCTGAACTAATGCTAAAACTCACACATCACCTGTAAACAAGCATGACATAGCCTAGCGTAGCCTAGCGTAGCTATAGCGTTAGTGTAATGAATATTTCATAGCAATATTGAGGATATTTTTCCAATGCAGTCCCTTTTTAAAGCGATAGTTTGGCAAAGCATTGACACTTTTCCTCCCCTCAGACCAAATGTTTTTGATCAGCCGTGTCCTGTTTGGTGTCGAGCCCCTGCTAGGCTAATGTAGCTAAGTAACAGAAGATTAGCCCTACAAATAGCATCGTAGGTAACCGTATGTTATGTAGGGTCATAATAAAGTCTGTTTGAGATTACCTGACAATTCAGCATTGGGTAGGCATGCAGCTAGCATCATGCTAATTGGCTAATGCCAACTAGCTTCCGTTACTCGTTAGCTGCTTTAGCCTCGTAGATCCAGTGCAGAACTAAATAAGTAAACATGTCTTGGCTGATTAATTTAAATTTGTTTTTTTTTTTTGCCAAACTATCGCTTTAATACGGAGGTTTTTCCTGAACGGTCAGGTGTTTTATATGAAAGCAGTGGTGGGGAGGATGGTGTACACTGTGTACTAAAGGAACTCATGTTTTAGCTGATTAGCAGTGATCTTTTGTATTAACCAATAAGATTTCAGAGATTTGTAGTTTTGATAATATAACTTGCTACGAGAAAAACAAACCAACAAACAAACAAACAAACAAACTGGGCCCAATTTCCAAAAAAAAGCGTCCTAGTGTTAAGATCATCTTGTCTGGGAGAGAGAGTGTTCAGAGCGATGCTCGCTCTACCATTGAACAGTCGTCTTTGTGCTGAGATGCTGTTTGGGAAACCCAGCCCAGATAAGGAGGAGCCCGAGTCAGAGAGAGGAAAGTGCTGAGCTGGATCTGCAGCTAGAACGTCTGTTTGTGGTTAACATATCGATCCGTATTTATTAACCCATTCATGTCCAACGACTGATTTTAGTATGGCGAGGGAAAAATGCTACAGAACTCATTCTACTGGGTTTAAAGAGCTGAAATTTAGTGTGTTTATACCTTAAATAACAACTTAACAGGAACATTTTTGAATTTTTAGATGCAGAGCACCTTATGGCTTGTGACTCACTCAGGTTCTCCACTAGGGGGTGCCATTAGCAGTCAAACAGCATCAGTGGCACTGAGTCTTTGTTCTGATTACATGTAGTTGTCACACTTTTATCTGCAATCAGATTTGGATTTTGTATTTCTTTTGTTAATAAAAATCAGTTGTTTATTCAAAGGGTTTGATGTGGTGCATTTCAGATCGGGCTCAGATATGGAAAGTTCAGCTTTTCAGATATGGACATTAGTGGGTTAATCGGGAGCTCCTTTCTTATTTAGAACAACATTTTTAGCTAATATTCCCCTTTGATGATCCCAAACGCTGAATAAGAAGTGTGGAGTTCAGTCGATGACGTCATGCTTGTTGCCGTGTCAGTCGGTGGGCCGCGTGATTGAAGAAGGCCTGTTTGATTGTCTGTTACTAACAGTTCTAATCACTCTGTCCTGTTGATGAATGATGGAGATCCTGACTGCGAGGCTGTGTGGTCAGTCAGGTGCTGGCTCAGTGGAGGATAGTGGGTGTAGGTCTGCAGTAGGTACGTGTGGAAGCGTCCGGCTCAAATAAACGATACAGAGGTCAGTTTTGTGAAAATGGTGGGAGTGGCGCTGTGAGAAAATAGATTTAATCAGAAGAGATTTAAAGAAATACTGAAGATGTTTTTCAGCCTGATCTCTGCTGCATCTGTACTGCACAGTTAATTACAGCAGACAGTCATTTCAACGCGTTTCCCAGTGGGCAGTTACTTGACATCTGTTCATAGTTGAAGTCAAGGGTCAGTTGCTTGAAACCTAGTTATATTAGAAGCCAGTGGGCAGTCGATTACAACCTAGATGCATTAGAAGCCAATGGTGAGTCAATTGAAATGCAGTTATAAAAGAAACCAGATGGGCAGTTGTTTGAAACCTAGTTATATTGGAAGCCAAGGGGCAGTTCCTTGGAACCTAGTTATATTAAAAGCCAATGGTCAGTCGATTGAAATGCAGTAATGAAAGAAACCAGTTGGGCAGTTGCTTGAAACCTAGTTATATAAAAAGGCAGTGGTCAGTTGCTTGAAATGCAGTTGCTTGAAGCATTGGTACATTAGAAGACCTCGGTCAGTTTCTTGAAATACTGTTGAAATAGAAGCCAGTGGGCAGTTGCTTGAAAGGTATAATTGAAGCCAGTGGGCAGTGGCTTTAAATACAGTTAGAACAGAAGCTAATAGGCAGTTGCTGAAGCAGATACGCACTGACTTCTGTTACAAACGTTTTTTTAAGTCAAGGGTTTTTGGAGACACAAGGAAAGGTGATGAAATCACTGACCCTGATAATCAGCTTCACGCTACAGGTGCAGCAGATTGAGAATAAGTTGAAAAATGCTGGATTATTCCTTTAGTTTAGTAACTGTTGTAGTTGTTTACCCAACGAACAGAGTGTTGAGTAAAGTGAGGGGGTTTGGTACGTCCTGATAAGGTCATGAAAAGAGCTGAAATAGAGATTAAAATTTTTTCTCATCTCAACAGATTAACAAAAGGATCCATAAGACTCAGATTAAACCCAGTTTTACTGTAAATTAAAGGATAAAGTGGCTTTTATCAGTGGAGACTAAGCTGAAACTCTGAGTTTCTCTTTAGTTGGCCTGATCTGTCTTTAAGTCCAGACCATAAGCTTTGTCAGCAGAGATCATTAGAATTTCTAAATGTAATTTTAGACTAAATTTAGACTGTTTCTGTTCATATTGATACTAGGCTTCAGTATTAGCTGGTCGGATGTTTCACAAAGCAGGATTTGCGAAGTGAGCCGGTGAACTTCAGCCCAAACTCAAGCCTGTCCACTATGGAAGGCTATTTTAGTGTTAAACTGGTGCTTTTCTAATTCATTAATTAATTACATGAATGGTCTGCTAGTAAGGGGCATTCCTATTGGACAGTGCTCGCTTTGGGTTCAGGCTAACCAGCTGAACTGCAATTCTGCTGGGTGAAAAATCCACCAGGTGTTCCTCCTCAGCAGGTACGCAGCACCCTATACTCAGGTACTAATGCTCTACATGCTTATGGAGGTGATCAAAGGAATAGTTCAGTCGTACATGCTAATGTTGGCCATGAATGGAAGCCAGTAGTCACCAAGACTAATGACTGAGTAATGCTAATCTGTGACCATTCACTTTCATTGTTAGCAATATTAGCACTGATGACTGAACTGGTCCTTTAAGCCCATATAAACATGCTGTAAAACCTGCAGAAGTAAGTTTTTTTAACAAAATAAAAGCACAAGCATTAAACCTTTACGCACCACGCAGCTGTTTATGTGGTTCGCACACATTGCAGCAGTGCTAAGAGCTAAAGCTGGTCTTCAGTACATGTGCATAATATCATGTTTGAGTCCTCTGTGCAGGCTCTGTAAAGTGTGGCCCTCGGTTCTCTTATGCATTACAGCGAGGGTTCGTGTTAGCATCTCTAATCCTCCGTATGCTAACCCACAAGCCCTTAATCCAGCCTCAGCCCGTCTGGGAAACGACAGTTTGGTGAAAAATCTGATTTTCTCCTTTTAGCTCAATTGTAGTCGATCAGCCAGGTCATGTTTGGTGTCTGAAGTTTGCTACTTATAGTTTTAGCACTGGAGCTACGAGGCTAATGTTGCTAACAAGTAATGGAAGCCTATATCCCAGCAAATTAGCATGGTGCTAACTGCAGGCTATCATAGTCTCTTCTCAGAATGTGTGGAGCTGTTGAGTAATCTCTCAGTAACAGTCTTGATTGTATGGTTTCTGACTCTGTACGACTCACTATTACCTGTAAACATGGGCTACAGTGCATTAGCATAGCTACCACAGCAGCAGCCGCACTGAAGCCTGAATGAAAGGATTTTCTGAATTTGCAAATTCTGTAAATTAGACTTTTCACCAAACTGTCGTTTAAGGTTGCATGACCTGCTTTGCAGTTACAGTGATATGAAGTGGCTCTGAGGTTTCTGCGGTTTTTAGCGAGGTCAGTTAGTTCAGTCTCTCCTGTTACCAGTTTAGCAGAAGATTTTAAAGGTACAATCAGGATTAAGTGGAATATTGTGGAAATTTCGCTGCTATCCTGCTCAGATTAACACGTTGATGGGGGAAGAGACTTATAAATGAGCAAATAATTGATGAATAATGATTTTGAGTTTTAAAAATAAAAGATAAGTGAAAAAAGGGAGGAAATGGAATATTCTAAATTCTGTAATAATAATAATAATAAATAATGTTTAGGAAGGAGGAAGAAACTAAGATTGGCCTTTGAGCAGATTAATAAATGAAGAGAATGTCAGGCACAATAAAAATTTATAGATATAAAGTGATCACACTGAAATATTAAAAACAATTATTTAAGAAATAAAAAAATATATATTTTTCAACAAATTCATATATGGAGTTGAGGTCACACATGATCGAAACAATCAAAAGATGAACAGTGGGCAGTCTGAATTCCGTCAATAACAATAATAATAATAGTAAAAATTTAAAAATAACAATTAAATAGTTAAGATTGACTTTCTAGCATATTCATATATACGATCAATGTCAAATGCAAACAAAATCAGATTTAAATGTTCTGTTTAGGATGTAAATGACCATCTTCCCCTTAAAAAACGACATTTCTGCTTGTTTAAATCCTGATTGTACCTTTCAGAGCAGATTTTCAGCAGCCGATTCTGGAGTAGCGTTAGCGGCAGTACAGGGACGATCGTCTGTAGCAGTTCTGTGTTAGATCATTTAGCATGTGGTGTCTAAACTTAACTTTCTGTGAACAGCTGTGTTTCTCTGTGTTTATCTTCTACAGTAGCGGTCTTGTGTAACGTGTCGGACCCCCGTCACAGCTGCATGCACTTTTATTTTTCTCTAAATCTGAGACTTAAATGGGGTGAAAGGTCGAAAGGGAAGGGGCGGTCTCTCGGAGCACTACGTTACAGCGGGAAAGCCAGTGAGGAACTACACCTCCCATGATGCTTTACAGAGTGGCGAGTTACTTTTTGTCATCACAGTGGGAAATGTACCTCTCCAGGCTCCGCCCACAAATTTGTTTTTACATAGATACAGTTGTGAAGTTGGACAAGCTTTACGGAGCTCTGGTACAAAATCCCATAAAACCTAGCTTATATCACAATACCTACATTCAGAGTCGGTTATTCATTCAGCCTAATGAGAAACTGTAGAACAGACTCAGTTTATATCACAATACCTACATTTAGAGTCAGTTATTCATTCAGCCTAATGAGAAACTGTAGAACAGACTCAGTTTATATCACAATACCTACATTTAGAGTTGGTTATTCATTCAGCCTAATGAGAAACTGTAGAACAGACTCAGTTTATATCACAATACCTACATTTAGAGTCGGTTATTCATTCAGACTAATGAGAAACTGTAGAACAGACTCAGTTTATATCACAATACCTACATTTAGAGTCGGTTATTCATTCAGCCTAATGAGAAACTGTAGAACAGACTCAGTTTATATCACAATACCTACATCTAGAGTTGGTTATTCATTCAGCCTAATGAGAAACTGTAGAACAGACTCAGTTTATATCACAATACCTACGTTTAGAGCTGATTACGTCAAATGGGATTTCTACCAACAGTAGCTCCGAAAGGACACATTTTGTGGGTGGGGCCTGGACGGGTCAGTTGCGGAGCAGGCCGGGGTTTACTGACCCTGAAATACGAAACATATCAGCACTGAGCGCCATTTCAGGGTCCTCATGCTAATAACTAGAGATTTATATTTATATGGAAAAACAAGCAACAATGAAAGGCTGCCTTTATAAATGCCTGAAATTTTTGTACATAGAAAAACAACTTATTTTTAATGCAGCATTCTCACTTTTTTGTTTTGATCTAATGTTTTATCATATCAGGATTAATTAATTTATTCAGTTCATGTTTTATATCCATCTCATGGTCTGTAGTGGTACGTTTTGTGCCTGTGTGAATCACAGAGCATTCAGAATAAACTCCGTCATGCTGAACAAAACTGTGTGGGTTTTTTCATCTACAGTTTCTGCATTTTCCTTCTGTTCTACTTTTAAGTCCACTTTATATGGTTTATTTGTCAAAAACAGTCATAACTCATTTTTATATGACCATTCTCCAACTTTATTCTTCATTAATGGGTCAATGAAAAATAAAGTTTTCAAAATGACAAATTTTGAAAATCTTATTAAAATATATATATATATATATATATATATATATATATATATATATGTGTCTTAGTAGTATATATATTTGCATTTATATCTCTGTATATTTTAAATATAGTGAGTGTTATCAAATCTTTAATTGCCTGTTTCAGTTATTAGACTGTGCTGGTCTGATTGCTCCATCTGAATGACTGGTTGAGCCGCCTGACTTTTCAGACTAATTTCAAATTAAATAGGCATCTGCTTAGACACCCATAGACACCTTTGTCCTTCACCTTTAGTTTACTGCAGTGCATCTAAATTTCTCAGTCTTCACATTTCCTAGCCAGCTTCTCAAATTGCATCACTGTTGGTCTGTGAACACGGTTCCTTTTGGATGGGAAATGGCACAAACATTCTCCTCACATCAAACAAAATGGGAGCCAGTAGTCTAGAAAATCAGTATCTTTTAACTAATGATCTTATAATGAATCAATTACACCAAATCATGAATGCAAAGGTTTAATAAAGACATCAGAAGGTACGGCAAGTTTGTTTATAACAAGTTTTTAAAATAAAAGCACAGTTCAAAGTGCTTTACATAAATAAAAGCAAAATAAAGAGGGAATAAAAAATGTAAAATGAATTAAAAAGAGGTGCGAAGTCTAAACAGAAAGTGTGAAAGACAAATGAGATGAACTCAAACTTCTTTTAAAGATAAAATGACAAATTAGTAGCAGATCTGAGATCTTCCGGCAGCTGGTTCCAGCCTCGAGCAGCAGGCGAGCTGGTTTAGTGCAGCCAAAAGAATGTTTATGTTTCATTGGTTTGGCTGAAACTGTTTCTACTGTATGTTGAAGATTAACATCCTGCATTGCTCGTTGAATCAGTGTGTTATCGCAGAATTTAAAATCAATCATGGACGGCTGATATTGCAGATATTATTGCCGTTACTCTGTAATTTAACCGGCGCTGTCCTATCAGGTTTTATTTGGCCCTTTGTGTGAAGACGGGCCACTTTAGGTCAGTTTTGGGCAGAATTCTGTTGGACTGATATCAGTTTCAGCCCGTAAACCTGATGTGGTTCAGGTCACGTTGAGCCAGATTAAAGCTTTAATTTGGATCCGTTAGGACACCCAGGTTTCTGACTTGGTCTTTAGTCTTTGGAGCTCTGAAGTGCTCACTGACTTTCAGTCTTTCCTCCTCACTGCCAAATAATATTACTCCTGTCTTTATTTAGCTGGAGAAAATGTTGACAGATCATTTAATTCGGTTGAAGATTTATTTCTAGAGCACTTTTTACAACGAGCGTCACAAAGAAGCTTTAGAGAAAATCCAGGTCTGAGCCCCAAATGAGCAAGCAGAGAGCGACAGTGGCAAGGAAAAACTCCCTAAGAGCAAGAGGAAGAAACCTTGAGAGGAACCAAGACTCAAAAGGAGAACCCATCCTCCTCTGGTCGACTCCGGATTTGCTCTGAGCACCGACACACAGTGTCTATGGGACCACAGTCATTTGGTGAGAGAGTGAACCTGGGTGGCATCAGGATAACTATGATGAGTGATTTTGTTTTCTGGCAGGATTCAGCCTAACGGGAGCATCGAGAGAGGTTATGATGATGATGATGGAGCAGATAAACAAAGAGGGAATGAGGCAGCTTGTTTCCTAAAGTAGGAGATCATCCTGGTGAAGATGGAAGTTCTCCAAGGCTTCTTCTTTTTGGGAGTCGCACTGTTGGATCCACCTGCAGAAAGAAAATCTCACGTTCAGTGTTTGCAAACCCAACAACTGAAATGGCTGTTTTATTAAATATGTAATGCCTGCTTTTAAAGTTATATTGACATTCATCTCAACCTTTTTGCACATCATTAAATTTAAACTACATACAAACTTAACAGTGTAAACTTACTCATATCAGCAGTGCAGCGACTCTGCAAACGGCCCTGATCTGAAGATCCAGCATTATTGTCCTTTTTTGATCTCTGTGATGTGAAACATTGAACATATTATCAACCTCATAATCATGGAAGTCTTACCACATTTCAGTGTATTAATACTAATAATGAATATAAGTAAGTTATTACTATATTGTTACTGGAATAAAACAGCACAAGATTAAAACTACTTAAAAATTACTTTACCTTTTTGAAGATGTTGATTTTTGGCATCTTCAGATGGAAGAAGATGCTCTTTCGCTTCTTCATGTTTACATTTTTCGCCCCCTCTGTTTCAGGACATGCAGTTCGAGCTTCTGGATCTAGATGCTTCCGTAAAGCAGTAACCAGGGCCTCATCAAATGTAGAGTCTTGAGAATTCAAGATCTTGTGCAGGGGACCTTTCTCACCAAACCTTTGAAGGAGCTCAGCAAACGTACCACTTAGAACTCCATCCAGCTTTGCAGGACCAGATGATGTAGAGAAATCTAGGAGAATTCTCTCAATTAGTTCTTTAGGATCGTTGGAGCTCGTTACTTTTCTCAGGTCAGATGAAGATGCTGCCAACTGCGCCAGAACCCGAAGAACCAGCAGAGTCACCAGGCTTGCATGATCCTCTCTGTCGGACTTAAGCAAAACTTTGCTTGCTAACAGCACGTCATCAGTGATCTGGCTGGAGACTAAGGGACAGGAACCAGACTGAACTGATAGAGGACAGTACAAGTCTTTAGGATCTGCGTTCTTAATTGCCCTGACGATGGACACCGCCAGAGATCCCGTCAACAGCTGACTCTGGGCTCTTACACCCTCAATCAGCTCTCTTTCAGAACGACTTCTCTGAAGAAGTTCTGCATATACGGCATCAATGATGGAGTGGTGAAGCTCTTTGAGAGCATGTTCTCCATCTTCTACTGAGACCGCAGTGAAAAGGGCCAGAATTCCCTTGACAGTGTCGGTCACATTTTGGACCTGGACATCATCAATCAAGAGGGGATATCCATGGACCCCAGTGGAGGACATCTCCTGGACTTTGTGTAATATTACACATATGCAGTGATGGAGAGCAGCCACGGAAATGGTTGGAGGAGACGGATTCAGTTTTTCAGAGCTGCGTAAATCAGTGTCAGGTGTTTCTTCAGCCTTTGAAACCACAGCATCCTCCTCATGATCAGATGGTGCTGACATTTTGTCCATTACGTTCTTCACAATCACTTTGGAGAACAGATCTATCGTGTCAGCATACACCTCAGATGGGGGTCTCAAGATCTCAAAACTCTCAGGCGTGA